GCAGAGACTGTGTCTCAAAGGAGAAAGGGATGATGCAATGAAGACTGTGGGCAGACAAGCCCCTGCCCTGTCTGGTCTTGGTTGACCGGATGAGAACTCAGGGACACTCTTTGTCTGAGCATAGTCACCATGATTCAGCCCTCTGCCAGGATGAGAAGAACCTGGTTGATGGGCCTTCCTACTGGACAGCACCTGCCTGATCCCTGTGCCCAGATCTCAGGGAATGAGGAGGGGGACCTCAGGGCTTCAACTGAAAGAGCTGGGATGTGTGATGCTCTGAAATGTTTTTCCCATCCCAGGGCATTAATACAGATGCTGTTGTGGGCCTCAAAGACCCTGGGGCCTAACAACCACTTCCAGACTGGGAGAACACAACTTCCCAGAGGTTAAGGATTGGGGAACATTGTTGGCAATGATGATCTCCAATCCCTGGGTACTGGCACTCCCATCCCCCAGCTCCACATACTCAGCCTCCTCTCCTGTCCTCCTTTCTGAGCCTTCGTGCCTCTGGCCTTGTGAAGGACCGGTTCCCAGCATGGCCGACCTCCTCTGTGAGTATTCTGTTCACCTTCTGCTTTAACGGAGCGTGGAGGGACCCAACCCGGCAGTCCTCTCACTGGACCCTGCTGTTTTCCTTCACACTCATGTACCTCAGGGCCAAGCCAGGTATATGGCTCCCTTATCCTTGTTCTCACTTCTAAACAATTCCTCCTGCTGCAACCACTTTCCCTTTGGAGCTGGACCTCTTAGATTCTTACCATCATTGGCGTCAATTTCTCTGTTGCTGTGTTGTGCTCAACACAGCACAACAGAACCACTCCCGGTTCTCCTTCATCTTCCCTGTAGTCAACGGAATCCTCATTCTTGCTCACTTCAACAGTCATGACGATGACCCAGCCCACGTCCTCTTCTCTCAATTCATTTTTCCACCCACCTTGGACGGTGCAACCCCAGCACCCACTACCAGGAGCACTTCTGAGAACTTCTCTCTACCAGAAACCCAGTACCTCTGAAGTCTAGCATGCACTAATGTACCCTGACTTCCTGGTTTACATGCTGTCACCTACTGAATAACCAAACCTCACTAGGACCTCCCAAACCCATTGGCCTCTAACCTACTCTCACCATCCATGGGATACTGTCCTTCACTTTGTCTCTTGTTATAGGCTAATGGTGTCCTTCCCAAATACATATGCAACCCTCTAGCACCATAGAATCAGAACATGTATTTAGAGATGGGGGGGTGCTTTAAACAGCTAATTAAGTTAAATGGTGTCGCTAGGGTGGGCCCTAATCCAACACAACTGCTGTTAGGCCCCAGGGAGACAAGAACACAAGCTCACACAGAGGGAAGACCAACGTGAAGACAGAGGGAGAAGCTGCCATCGACAAGCCAAGGAGACAGGCTTCAGGAGAAACCAACCCAGCTGATGCTTGGAATCCCGATTTCCTGCCTCCAGAATTGTGAGACAAGAAATTTCTGTTGTTTACTACTGAGTCTGTGGAACTTTGTTGTGGCAGCCTGAACTGACTAGCACAATCCCAACTCAGCTCAGATTCCAACATTACAACCATTCTCTTGCTGTACCTCTCTCCCTCAGTTGTATTCACCAACTCCAGCTGAACTAGAGTAACCAGAGTAACCCATCTACTTCTTGCTGAACCCAAGAAGCTGAGCAATGTATGTGTGTGTGTGTTGGGATGGGGTCCTATAGCAACTCTAATTAATGTGCTAAAATTTATGACCCCAAACCCTCCTATATGGCCCAACACAGCTCATAAATCTCAATCAAATTTCCTGAGAAAGTTTTCTTTCTTTTCTACATTTCAAGAGGCTCTATCATTTTTTTTTTTTTTTTGGCTTGAGAATCCCACCCCACCTTCAGCTCCTTGCAGATCTGGGACCAGGTGGTATCAGTTGAGAGTCTCCTCATACTCTACTGCCATCACAGGTATAGTCCTGCAGGTCACAGGCTCAAATTTTCTGTGTCCCTGTAAAACAAATGTCTCTCCAGCTCCTTTTGGTCCTTCATTGGTCTCCTCATCCACCTCCTTTTACTGGATTCCTTCCTTGCATTTGTCTCTAACCATGAACTTGCCTTTCCTTTTAGAAACACTTCCCTTGACAGTCATCCTCTTCCAGAAATTCCCTTATTTTTCTGCTTCTTTTAATACCAACTGTCTGATCAGAGTCACCCGTGCTTGCTGGTTCTACTCACTGCTCCATCAACAATCTTTTTCTGCCAATGGACCATTCCCATCCACATCCAACCAGTCTTTCTTCCTTCTACTCCAGCCTGATCCTTGTCAGGTTCACTGACAATGTCAAGGTTGCCAAGCTTAGTATTTCCCCTCTTCCTTGAGCTCTCTACAGAATCTATATGGCTGGCCAGTCTCAGCTTCCCTCTTGAATTTGTGACTCATCTCCTGTTTTTATGGGCTGCTGTTTCTCACTCCCTTTGCATCTTTCTCTATTTGACCCCCTGTCCCTGTTCTCCTGTTTCTAGATGATCTCATCCAGGTCGGAGACTTTAAATATCATTTAGGTGCTGATGGCTCTTGAATTTATATCTCTGTGCTGACCTCTCCCTTGAGCTCCAGACACATAGATCTAACTTGACATCTCCATTTAGATGACTCAAAGCATCTCAAATCCAACACGCTCTGACAGGATCTTTATGCCCATTCCCCACCTTGTTCCCCATCTCAGGAAATGGTGCCATCATCCACTTAGTGGTTTATATTAAAACATACAAACAAACAAACAAACACAGGAATCTCTCTCACTGCCCTTTTCCTTCCCAATGTGTCTGATTTGAGACACACACAGACCTATGCACATCTTTCCATCTTCACTCTCAACGCTCATCCATACTATTATCCTCTTTCATTTTGAAATGGAAACTGTTTCCTAAATGGTCTCCCTGCCCCTTTGTGGGAAGGGGCTGCTCCCAGAAGGAGTGCTCTGGGGAGGATTGGTTTCCTGCAAATTGCCCATGACACAGTCGATGGTGCTAATTCAATTAATCCATTTGCCCAAGAGGCGGTGCCTGTGTTCCCTCCTTTCTGTTCAACTTGCTTCAGAAGCAGCACTTCCATTCACAAAGCCAGATCAAGTGCCATTAACAAATTAATTCTGATTAGCGCAGCCCAAGCATTCAGACCTCAAGGCAATCCTGGTCAGTCATCTGGGGCCTGGCCTGCTAATAAAGTGGAAACCGTGCTGGAAGCAGAGGCGATTATTTTGATGCCTGTCTACGTCCCTGGAGGGGAGAAGAGTGGGGATGTGATTTCACTACAGTCTCTAGAGGGAATTAACTCACTTTCAAATGATAAGTTATTAATTCCCCAATGTGGTGGTCAGCTCTGTGAGAACAGAGTCAGCGTAGCACACCTCCCTGTAGCCCCTGAAGCTTCTATTTAGGAATAAGTATTCATCAGGTGCCCAATAACTGGGAGAGAAAAATAACTGGTAAGTGAGAAATAAATCTAGGGCCTGGTATCATTAGTAACACTACATTCTTTTATTTAACAAATGCAACTGGGCTGTTACTCTGATTGGCACAGCAGATTCAGAACCAGTTGGTTCTATTTAGACAGTGCCCTGTCCTCTTGGACCACACAGACTGTGGGAGGAAGGCAGAGAATTGGCATTAGCCAAACAAATGCAAAGCTGCCCTCAGAGATCTGGCTAGCAATACAATCAAGACAGGAAAAGTGGTGTAGGTGACAGAGTGCTGATGTGAGGGAAGGATGCTCTGGGAGAGCATGAGGCCCTGACCTAGGCTGGCTCTGCATGAAGCCAGGAGCCAGCTCTGGAGAAAGAACCTTCTAGAGAGGGACCATAAAAATGCAAATGCCTGTATTTTTTAGAGAGCTAGGTGCATTCATCCAGCATAGCCATCTTTGCCAGCCAGCTGTTCTCCTTGTGGTCCCCAGGGCAGGAGACACATGTCCTGCTGAAAGGCTGACTTTGTCCACACTCATTCCACCTGCGTGGATGTCATCCCTCCATCCTTCCTGCCCCTCTCACTCATGACACAGGGCTTTGCTCCGTACCTACCTTGTCCAACAAAGCCTTTCAATATTCTAACTATAAGGACTCCTTGCCCTCTTCTCAAGTCCTGGAGCACTTGCTTGGCACCTGCTGTCTCCGTTTCTCTGCAATTGGGCCTCCTCTCCTATGCTCTCTCTTGCCCTGTTCCTATCACTGTGGTGGCTCAAAGGTAAGGGGCTTCATCCCCTCTATCTCTCATACTCCCAGGCTAGACACAGATTCCTCAGTTGTTGACACAGAGGGAGTCTGAATAGATTGCCTGGTCCAGTGCAATCTCTAACTGAATGAAGACTCCTAGAAGTCTTGCTTCTAGAATGCTTAATGTGGACAAGAAAGGAAGGCACTCCATAGAATTAAGGCTGATTTGGTTGGAAAGTAGTTTCCAAAAGGACGATTAAAATTTTTTTGAGACTCCAATAATATTAGCTTTCTAATAATGATATTTGGATTCCTATAATATTAGCTTTCTTCTGGGAATGCTTGGAAGCTCTTATAAGAATCAAGCCAGCCAGAGGGATAATAATTGGCTTGAAAAAGACCCAGGACTAAGAAATCAGGTGAAGAAAGAGGCCAACCACCCTCCCAGAGCCCAATCTGACCATCTCCCGACAGTTCAGAACTCACCATAGCCCAGCCCACCAGTAAAACACAACCTTCTTCCCGTTCAAAACCTCCCCTCTCCCAGTATTCCCAGAAGCCCCACAATTCCAGTACTCCTCAGTGTCACCCAAAAAGCTAGAATATCATCCAACAAAACACGAAGGTACAACAGGGTCTTCGGCTTCAAGACACCTTGCCATCCCATCTTGAGTCGAAAGGCGTCCTGAGCACCCAGTGCTATGGCTAATGGGGATGAGGTCATGGTGCCCAACCCTGGAAGAGGGAAAGCCAGTGGGCATGAGGATGAGATGAACGTGGAGATGTGCTGGGCACTGCTGCTAACCTTTCACGAGGACTGTCCTGGCCTCAGCCCACTCGCTCCTCCCGTCTGACGTCAGCAGGCCGATTGGAGGTAAGCGTTCATCCTCGTTGGAAGCCATTTTGACTATCTTTCTCAACTGAGTGAACAGATCCCCCTCACTGAGACGGCGGAAATTAATGACAACATCCAAGACAAAGAACTGTGGGGGAAACAGGTCAAACATGTCACTCATGGCAGCTGGCCCAACGTGCCAGGCCTTCACTGAGACTTCACTGGTGAGCTAAGGTTTGGGATTACTCAGGCCCAAGGTTCCCAAGGTAATTCTGAACTGTCCCAGTTTGGGGAATGACCCAATATTATTGACTGTGTTGGACTTCGGTGGTGTCCCCTGCCACCACTGAAGAAAGCCAGAGTAAATTTAGCCAAAACAAAACTGGCTTTTGTGGTTTCTAGTTCATGTAAAACCATTATTTCTTAGAAGAATGGTTCAACCCCACTATGGGAGGGCAGTGTCTATCAAGACTAACATATACATACCTATGACTCAGCAATTGCTTTTATAAGTACATATGATTTAGCCTATGACTTGGAGAAACATGTGTATCGGGGAGATATGAAGGAATGTGTGCATATCAGCCTTTTTGCATTGGCAAGACAGTAGAAAGAGCATCATTTTTCTCCAGGAAGAGAATGGATAAGTAAAATACAGTGTTCTTATACAGCGCAGAATTAACTAGAATGAACTAGTTAGAGTTATGGGGATAGATCTCAAACACACTGGTGAGTGAAGAAAAATAAGCAAGCCAGCAGACAATATGCAGAGGAAGATTAAAGTAGAAAACCAATACACAAAACACTCTCTGCAACCAAGTGCACATGCCAGTATGTCTGCATGTACTCTGTATGGTGCTGTCATTCTGTCACTTTGAAGGTCAGAGCCTTCATAAAGGGCTCCATAAAGGGCCAATTCCCAGGTTGAGACATCATTTTTAGCTGATTGACATGCGCATCTAGTCCCTTCCCTGAGCAGTGCCTACATGGCCTGGTCTAGAGCAAGGGTCTGAGAGATTGTTTCTGGAAGGGGTGAATACTGTGCCATACGGGGGCTAGGAAATCCTGGGTTTGACTTGTGAGTGAAGATGGAAAACGGCTTTTGTTTTATGGCTGGCTGACCAGGTGCCAGGTGGGCTTCAGAGCCTCTTGCTGGCCTTCAAACCTGGGAACAGAGGTCTCAACCATCTCAGATGGCAGACTTTCACTGGGCTCCCCACTTACTAAAACTGTGAGATGAGCCCAAGAAGGAAACACTGTGGAACAAATACAGGGGGGCTGAAGGTCCATGGTATGGTTGTCAAACTAAGGTTTACCATTTAAAAAGCAAAAACAAGAAAACAACCCCCAAGCTCCTTTTTTCAGGTGAAATACTTTTGTGAATCCTCAATATATAAAATATATTTTTTATATATATATACACTAAGAAGGGGTCAGGAACTCATCTTGGCCTGTTTCCCATGGAGCCCTTACTAGCTCCTCTGTGGAACGCTGTCTGAAGACCTGAGCTGCAGGGCATAGAACATGGCCTTGGGGCATTGGCCAGACCTATGGGGTCCTTTCTACTCTTGGAGAAACCACTTTCCTGAGTCTCACTTTCTTATCTATCAAAAAGAGATTCAAAGATCCCTTCTGGAGGTTCATTTTGAGGACTACGTGGAATGAATGAGTGTTAAGAGCTATGATTTAGCATAGGGTGTCCCATCCGACAGTCCTTTACAGAGTTCACCTCTCTGGGGGGTAGTCTCCAGGGAGGCCACAGCCTGGGTAACTACATGGAAATAAACAGATGTGCAGGTGGCAGCACCAAGGCCATGCTGGGTTTCACTCATGACCCTCATTCTGTCACTCAGGAGCTTGGTTTGAGAGCCCAGGGAGGGCATTCCCTATCTGATGACTCTCCTTGCTAACTGGTGAACAGAAATAGGATTGACTGGAAGTAGGAGAGCCCACGTTGCGGGACTATTCCCCAGTTCACTGTGTGACTCAGGGAAGTGGGCTGAGCACCCTTGGAGAAGCAAGAATGGATGAGCACACTTGGCCACTGTGTACCTTATTCCCTCCCCCAAGTTGGAGAGGCTGCAGAGGTGACAAGGGCCATTTACCTGGTTGCAACAGGCCACAATGACATGTTCAGGCTCAGGCATGATGCTGCTTTTTTGGGCCACCAGTGTGTCCTGGGTGTGACCAGGGAGCCGGTAGGAAGAGAAGAGCCCATAGTACTGCTTCATACAGAGGGGCTGCCCTGAAAGCTGGCCCCTGGCACTGTCCATGGGGATGGAGTGGCTGGAAGAGGAGAGCAAGAGAGAATCAGGCAGATGAAAGAATGGACAAGGGGGAGAGAGGAAATTTGAATCAGTTCTATTGTTCCTCTGTGAATGTGTGTGGTGTTGGGGATTAGACCCAGGGCATTGTGTATGCTAGGCAAGCACTCTACCACTGCTACACCCCCAGACCTCTATTGCAACTTGATTAGGAAAGATGGGGTACCAAGCCCAGAAGTGAATTTCTATGTCAATTTCAAAGCTCACTTCTCCACTTTTTTGTGGGGGGGGCGGTTGGCAGTATCGGGGATTGAACTCAGGGGTTCTCAACCACTGGGGCACATCCCCAGCCCTATTTTGTATTTTATTGAGTCATTGTCTCACTGAGTTGCTTAGTGCCTTGCTTTTGCTGAGGCTGGCTTTGAACTTGGGATCCTCCTGCCTCAGCCTCCAGAGCCACTGGGATGACAGGTGTGTACCACTGAGTCTGGCACTTCTCCACTTCTTAAAATAGTAGAGTGACCCATTTCTGTGGCCCAGGAAGACCCTCAGGGTTTCCTCAAATCTCCCACCACCCTGCCACTAAAGGTGCAACATTAGTAGCGACAGTATGGAAATTTAAAATCTCTAATTCCATGATAAAACACATTTTGTCCTTTGTGGCATTTTTCTAGTAATTCATTGTGGTTGTGTTTTATAATTTTTTTTTTAAAGTCCTCCTTAGAAATAGTTTGAGAAGCAACTGTGGAATGCTGAAAGACAGAAAGGAAACCAGTAGGGTTGAAGTTGAGTGAAGAGAAGGCAGGTAGGAAAGGCCAGGTCCTGTGGTTGTTTTTTGTTTTTTTTGTTTTTTTTTTTTTGGTGCTGGGAGTGGAACCCAGAGCCTCACCCATGCTAAGCATATTCTATACCACTGAGCCACACCCCAGCACTGTTTTGCTTTCGTAATGAGCAGAGTGGGAAAAAGGAGACCCAGGAAGAACAAGGAAGAGAGCTATAGCTGAGATGGAAAAGTGGCCTTGGTCTTTGGGGCAGGGAGAGGGAGAAGAGCAGCTGGGGCAGCTCTGAGGGAAAGTGACCACTCCAGAACACAGTGAATAGATGTGGGGTGAGGGAGAAAGAGGGACTTCATGGTTCCTAGACTTACCAACTGGGGATGTGCTGGTGCACTTACTGAGACGACGAGACAGTTCGAGAAGCAAGGAGGGCGGAGGAGGGGCATCAGGGTTCACAGGGGCTCTTCTGAAATGACTGGGAGGTACCCAGGGGGGATGCCTGGGGCTCAGGGGAAGAACAGAGCTGGACAGCTGTATTTTGTGTCTATGTTTCTGTCTTGCCCAGTATCTGAGAATCTTTTGAGGGTAGGGATGAGGCTTTATTTCTCATCAGTATGTTGCAAAGTGAATTAGTTAATTAATTAAGGGTCCAAAACAGGCACTCAGGCAAATGTTCCAACCTTATGGCATTTACAAACATTGTGCAGATAGGCATGGATGTGTGGTGTGTGTGTGTGTGTTTGCACACACACAGACACATACACCCCTAAGAGTTCATGTTCAGGACTGTCCATGATAAATGTCTTCAAAAGTCCCTAGGCCTAGTGGGCAGGGTCAGTGCCCTTTCTCCACTATGTGGCTGGGCTGCTGTAAGTGATGAGGTGCTCTGAAGACAGAGATGGGGCTGTGAGCTAGAGGACTGAGTTCTGGGAGGAGACAGAGTATTGCCAGTGAGGAGGGAGATGGCCCAAGAGACACCTGAGGGGATAGAAGTTCTGGAGATCCAGTTTGGGAAGGCACAGTGACCACCACATTAGAGAGGAGTGAGAAGAGTGTCACAGTGTGCATGGTTGAGTGCACACTGGGGAGGCTGCTGTGTGCCTCGATTAAGGCTGAGAGATTTTAGGCCTCAGAGGACAGTCAGGGTAGCCCACTGGAGAGGCTACTATTAATATTTCCATTTGACAGGCAGCAGACAACAGCTAGAAGCTGTCAGACTCTGAGGTCCACACTTGCCCTTTGTGGCAATCTGAATTCAGATTCAGGTTGATGACCCCAGGGCCTGACCTCTGAGCCTTTCTACCCTTTGTTTTCTGAGAGTCATGCCTCCTCCTCTCTAGAAGGTATGTGGGTCTGAGCCTCAAGGCTGGGTAAAGCCTGAGTTGGATCCAGTTGAACAAAGAATACAGGTTGGTCTTTGTTCCCTCCTTACCCTGTCACCTTCTGGCTGTGTGAACACAGGCAAATTACTTAATCTCTCTGAGCTTTGGTTTTCTTAATTGTGCAAAGGACACTATTTTGGGCTCCTCTCTCTTTCTAGCACCTGATGCCCTTACATATACTATGCCTCTGCAGACCTGGATCTTCAAGACATCCTCCCTCTCCCTGCTGTTCCTAGGAGCCTTGGGGCTTGGCCAGGAGAGGGACTTCCCTTCTAAAATCACAGATAACCTACTGCGCTTGTACAACTCTTTCCATCTGTGGGAGCATCCCCATGTCCACTGAGTTTGGTGGGATTGAAGAAAGAAGCTCAGAGCAGGGAGACCACTCTCACCGTGCAGCACAGCTAAGTCTTCTTTCTCCACCCTCCACATGTTATGCAGACTCCTGACAAATTCACACTGTGTGAACATCTAAGTTTTGGAGGGAGGGAGGCATTTTAAACAGACCAAAGAAAGATGGTGCTTATTCTGGGAAGGAGAATGTTCAGTGGTCAGGTCAGCTGGTTAAAGGTCCTCCCGATGCTGAGGAGTGGACAGGGAAACACTGGCTCTGTGACTAGGGTCAGGAATCCAGAGCAGGAAAAAGACAAGATCCCTGCCCTCTGGAGCTCTCTGTCTAGCGTGGCAGGGGGATAGATGCATGAATAGGCTGTGTCAGAGCAGAACACTACCCATCCGGGGCTGGGCCCAGTCCTACCTGTCCAGCAGAGTCTTGTAGCTGAGCACACCTGAGATGAGGCTGGCTGCAAACCTACAGAGAGAGGAGAGGCTGAGTTTGCCTACTTCTCTCCCTCCCTCCCCTCTGCCTCCTTTCCTCCTTCTTTTTCTCTTCCCTTCCTTCTTCCTCCTCCCTACCTTTGTCTCTGCTCTTCCTGCCCGCTCCTTCTGTTCTAAACTCAACCATCAACCCACCATATGCCAGGTCTGTGTGTGCACTAATCAGCTGTGGCTCCTGCTGCCCCTCCCCCAATGCCGTCAGCCCATCACAAGCCTTGCATTAAAAATGGTCCCTGGGGATGAAGCAGTTCTTGGGGAATGGAGAGGAGAGGAAACTGAAATCACCTTGAGGATGAGGAGAAGGAGGAAGAGGGGGGCAGGAGAGGCTCCAGAGTCAGCAGGAAAGGGCTAAATGATGAGGGGTGGAGTTCTCCCTGGGAAAGGCCACTACAGGGGTTGGGACCCTCAGAGTTCTGGAAAATTCAGTCTACTGGGAGAAGTCCACAATTTCATTCTTTTAGTGGCTAATGAAAAGGAAAGTGAGTAGTGAGTGGGGGGAGGGATGCCCCAGAGAACTGTGCCAGGGGACCATGTCATCTTAATTGTCCATGGATGATGAGGCAGGGCTTAATTGCATAGGGGGGAAAGTGCCCCCTCAGATGCAATTTGGAGAAGTGTTTTCAGAAATTCATCCATCCACACTCTTCCTTCTGCCCCAGTGAAGTTCTGGCTGCAGGGGAAGAGAAGGTTACCCCCATCACTACAGTCAGTGGAGCTGGCCTTGTGGAGAGGATGAGGGTTGTGGTGAGGGACTTCCCAGCATGGCTGAGCCCTGCCCAGAGACTTCGGGGCCCTGTCTTTTCTCCTCAGGCCACTTTGGCCTGCCTTCTCCCTGCATTGTCCCCATTCAGGTCTTGAGAGCAGAAACTGAGACTCCAGCAGGGGGATCCTTCTACCCCCACCCCCTACCCTCACCAGTCATCGTCATCAGTGGGCCCAGAAGCCCTTCCAGCGGCTCAGTGAGCTCTGAAATTGCAGCAGATGGCAGAGACTCTGGCAGCAGCGGCTGGCAGGGAGCGATGTTTCCACCCCTCTGGAGTCTCAGTTTGGAACCTGGGCTCTGGAGCAGCAGGAGCTTCACCCTCGGGCAGTCTGGGGCAGTGTGTCCCAGCCAGGAGTACTGGTGAGTGGCAGAACACATGCTTCCTCCCAGGGCCTCAGCCAGGTCAAGACTGCTGTGGGGATCCCCAGGGCCCATGACCTCCATTTAGAAGACTGTGTGTTTAGTACTTGACTGCAGCTGTGCCTAAACTCCTTTCAACCCAATGCTTTGGATAGCCACTGTCTTGAGGCATTTGGCTCCAGAAAGCTCAACCAATACACAAGCTGTGACCTTCCTTGTGCTGGGGCCAGACCCCATACCTTGGGAAGGTACCCAAGCTGCAAATTCAGGAGCACAGTAGCCTCACCTTAGCTGGTCGTTGGTGTCTTGAAAGTGCTGCCGAGCAAAGATCACAGCTGGGCTGGAGTTGACGGGCAGAGCCAGGCGGTTATTGAGATACATGTCATTGAGCCAGAACTCAGACACCTGCCAGGAAGCACAGGGAAAAGGAGCCATTCTGGATGTTTGGTGATATCCCTCTGTTGGCCACACAGACCCCTCCCAAAACAGGGCCCCTTGCCAGTAGAGATGTCCAATTCTATCCTGGTGGTCCCAGGGGAAAATGGGGCACTTCATTGGATTATTCACTTCATTCATAACTGAGCCCCAGTTACGTTCTGGGGCCCAGGTGCCCCCAGTCCACCAGGCCCACCCTTCATCTTTGTCCCATTCTGGATGGTTAGTAATACACCCCTGTGCCCTGCCTGCGGGTCTCATTTCTGCTTTTCACTCTGCTCTGCTTCTCTGACTTCATTTCTATCTCCATTTCCCCAAGACTCGTCCCCATCTTTGTATCTTGTCTCAATCCCCGACTCTATTCCTATCTTCCCCTTATTCCTATCCCCCACCTGTTGTATCCCCATCTCTCCTCTTCTTTCTCCATCCTTTTTTCTCATCTTGCCTGCCCCTCACTCTTGCCTTTTGCGGTCCCCCAACCCATGTTACCTATCTGTTCCTGTCTACCCCCATCCCTGTCTCTCCCTGTGTCTCTACATGGGCTTCCTGCCCCTTACCCATGGGACCCTTGTCAGCCTGTCCCAGCAACACTTACCCAATTGGCTGTCTTCTCCTGTCGCTCCAAGAGTTTCTGTTGCAGGGTCTCACCGAGGCCACCAGGGGCCCCAAATCTCTGCACGATGGCCTGGCTGTTTCTGAACTGCTCCTCAGGGACCAGGTGTTGCATGCACTGCAGGTAGGTGGCCAGCGTCTGCTGCAATGGGGGCACTGGCAATTTGGGCAGCTCCTGGAAGAGGGGGTTCACAGGCACTCAGTGTGCATGTCCTTATTTGTAGCCCATGACTGTCCCTGAGATGATCCATAGCATGTGTCTCATTCTGTCCTCTTTGTTCCCTATTCTGGGACCTGTCTGTTTCTAGGATCTAGCTCAACAGAATTATAAATTAAGGATACTTCTGTTTCCTTTTCCTGTCTTTCACTATGCTTGGGTCCCAGAAGGTCACAAAACACAGAGGAAAATACCTTGATATTGGTATCAGCGAGACCTTGACCCTCTGGCTGACAGTGGTATGACCTTGGGCAAGTTCCTTTCCCTCCGTCAGTATCCGTTTCTTTCCATATAAAATGATCCTCTTATAGGATGAAAGAAATAATGCATATGAAAGTACTTACAAAACATAAAGGGTAGGTCTAAGGTGAAAATTACTGACATTGTCAGATGGGAAGGGTGCTACTCTTGTAGAGATTTAGATGGGTCAAATATTGCTTTGGGTGGGAGACATGGTTCAGTGCTGCCTAGATGACCAGAGTCATTAGTGCTGGGAAAGTGCTGACAGCCACACTTCATAATCCCCAGGTCCCCAGCAAGATGTCTCATGCCCTGAGCTCCTTGTTATATCCCTCCCAGTTATGAAACCTAGGAGGAAGATTTTGTTTCATGTGGGGATGAGGGGTGGGAAGATACAATGGAAGCTCAACCAATACACAAATCTCTCCAAGTCTTGGCTTATCATCCATAGGACATAAATAACAACTCTTATCTGAGAGGGTCACACAGAGAATTAAATGAGAAAAATGAGTGTCTATAAATAGGCCCATTTGGGGGTATTACCAATCTTATCCCTCCAAAAGAAATCCTAAGAGGAAAACTGTAATCTTGGGGTACTCCAAAGTGTGGCTAGAGTCAGGAGAGCATCCCAACTGCTGAGAAACCCCACCACTGAGAACCCAATCACGGTCCTTACGTGGGCACTGTACTTCCTATTTGCCCAGTTGCATTTCATTTAGGGGTGTCATGTCTGTCTTCAACTTTGTCACCTTGCCAGGCCACAGTTTTTCATTCCATTTGCAGAAGAAAAAACTGAGGCCTGAAGAGTGGAGAAACTAGTCCAAGTTCACAAAACAATTTGATGGCAGAGCCTGAACTGAAACCAATCTGTACCCAACATCCGGGGATTTGCTTCTTTCTCTCCAGTTGTTCTCTCTCTTTCTCCCTTTTCCACCCCTTCCCTCCCTGCTTAGCCTCTGACAATAGGAAAGCAGGACTCTGGATAATGCTTAATTTGTGAAGTTGGCAGACAGTGGGCTGCCTTCCTTGGAGGAATTTCTCCTCTGGAGGGTGGAGAGTTTCCATGAGGCAGCCGTGTTCACCCCACAATGGCTGGTTGAGAGCGAAGAGGCCCCTGGAAAGCATTTCCTGCTCTGTTCCTGCCCCTGCACCCTGGGCAGAGCAGAGTGCTGATGGATGAACACATTTCCCTGCCTGTCTGATCCTGTCTCTAGAGTTCATTGCTTCAGCAGGGTGTGGGGGTTTGGTGCCAACTATGGGCTGCTGCTGCCCTGGAGACATGTGAGAACGGGTTTGGGCAGTAGCTGGGTTGTTCAGCCCACTCCCAGAAAACCGAGTCTGGTTCCCTACCCAGCTGCTCTGGTCTTACTTCTCTTGCATTTGGTGGGGGTGGTCTCTTAGTGGTCAACAGGTGAGCAAGCAACTACAGAAAGCTCAGCCCAGGTGGTGACCTGGCCAAGAGTGCTGGCAAGTCTGACAGGAGCCACTGCTAGAAATGGTTACTCTTCTTCCAGGCACTCATTGTGGGCTAAGGCTCAGCCTGGGTAACAGGGAATCAGAGGTGGGTAAAAAGAAACGAAGCAGGAAATTTCAGCTCAGGCATCTCAGGTCCAGAAGGGCCTTTTTCCAGGCACTTCTAGACTTCTGAACTGAACCAACAAAGGACTTTGGTATCTGGAGTCTCTCTCTCAGGTCCATACATGTTTTCTAGGGAGTTCTCAAAAGCCAGGCTCTGGACTGGACTTGGAGATGATGGAGAGACAAGAGCCTGCTTTCCAGGAAACCACAGTCTAGGGGAATGGGGGTCACAGCATAAACTAGAGGTAACAGTGGAGGAGTTGATCAACTGCAGAGGTTGGGGCAGCATTAATGAGCAACTTCAAGGTCAGAAGTCAGAAAATTCTGATTAGGGTTTCAAATGAAGGCACAGGAAGGAGGAAGAGTAGTGGCAAAAAGATGTGTATGGAAGAGGAACCAGCACAAGCAACAACCTGAAATTAGATATCGTGTTCTATCACTTGGAGGATGCCTACCCAGGGAGAGTGGCATTGTCGCAAAGCAGTGGAGAACGTGGTGCTTGATGTTCTAGGGCTGAATGGTGACAGCAGCTGGTGCTGGGCTGTGGCAGGGTCTCGAGTAGGGAATTCAGCCTCACCCTAAACAAACACACTGGGCTCAAAGCCATCTGAAATAGAATTTGGTCTAGGGAGGTGGCAGGGGGAGTAGTCATGTGTGGCAGAGTTCAAGGGTTTTCCCTGATCTGGTGATTAGGAAGTGTGGCTGTCAGCATTCCCCAGCACTTCTGAGCCACACCCAGCCCCTCCAGGGCCTCTGGGCTCCTCTGCTGGCCTGGGGCAGCACTGCAATCTGGGCCTCATGCCCAGGAGAGTGCAGCATTGGGGAACAGGAAAATGCTGGGTGTCAGTCACTTAGGACTATTCTAAGGCATGAGGAGGGTACAAGTAAGACAGAGGGCTCTAAAATGACTCACAGTTTCCTCCTCACTGTTTGAAGTTTTTTCAGCCATCTTATGGGTTTTCTTTTCCAGGATAGGCATCTTGGTGACTCCTGGTCTCAAGTAGCAGAGGTGTAGATCTGGGGACAAAGAAGGAGAGTCATTAATACAAGGAATCCTCCACTGCCCACAGCCTGACTTCTGCCCCGTGCAGAGGTTAGAATTTGAAAACAGTATCTAGGAGTCACATTGAAGATTTGGCTCTAATCTTTGATCCCATGCCTATTCCTGTGAGCACAATGACCTCCCTGAGCCCCCATGTTGGAAAGAGTGGGTTCTGAAGTGAGCCTCCAACTAGGACTTACTCTATCAAGGTTGCAGCTACCAAAGGCCAAGTGATCACCCCAGGGCAGCATTGGAAGAAGCAGGGCTGGGTTTGCCCATTTCCAATCCATGAGAGATCACTACTGAATTCTAGCTTTGCTCCTGCCTGGAATCCAATTGGCATGTGCTTTGTTAATTGAAATCTCTTTTTCTCATTAGATTTTGAGCTTCTCAAGGGCAAGACTATATCTGCTGTGCCCAGTGCTTCATCCTTGGTGCTTGGTCTGGGGTGTGGCATGGAGTAGGGGGAATGATAGTCAGCTGAAGAAAAGAAATGCTTGTGTGAATTAACATGAGCATGAATGACTCCAAGGTCCTCTAAGGCCTTTTGCTCTAGAAGGCATTCTGGGATGCTTGGAAGTGGCCTATGACCAAGGCAGGAGGGACCTTAGGGCCTGCTGGAAAGGCTATGACTTAGGCTATCACTGGTCAGCAGGCTCCAAGGGTAGGTACCATAAGAATGTGGATGGAGATGATTTAGGAAACTGGATGACTAGGGTCCTTAAGAGCCACCTGACAACCTGGCGGTACACATTAATTTTCAAAGTAAAGTAGAAGTGAGCCAGCTCAAGAAGGGCAAAGGCCAATTTTTAAAGCTGTGGGGGTACAGTCTCTACCCCCTGCAATCCACTTAAACCTAATCTGCAGAGGTATACAACCAGGATTTCCATCAAACTATCATCTATTTTTTTTCCCCAAGAGCCTGAGGCATATGTTTAACCCATTCTACTACTACTGCCCCTAACCAGAGGCAAGCACAGTCCTGGTGCTTGCATGTGGGTCAGTTGATCTTTGGAACACAGCATCCAGAAAGATGGATGCACTAAAGTCCAAGGTTGGAGGGTCCTGGAACTGAATGGCCCTGCTGGCAGAAAGATGTAAAGTCTTTGCAGGCAAGTGAAGGGCACTCCCAAACTAAGCCCAGAGATTGCAAGGACTGCCTAAGACTATATGGCCAAAGTGGCAGTGTTTAGGTGAGAGTCCACCCTAGCACTATGCTGTTTCTAGGAGGCCATGAGGGCAAGGGCAAGTTTGTAAAGTCCCTGCAGAACGTGCAGCCAAGGCTTCTTCTTCCTTTGGTTCCCCAGGGGTGCCACATGGGTAACACTAGTCAGGCCTCATATAAGGAGCACAGACCTCAGCCATTGATTTCCTGGTGGTCTCCACCTGCCAGCTCCTCTTCTTCGTGGGGCCAGCACCTACATATATATGAATATATGTCTTTCTGTCTTTTTTGGTACCCTCCCATCTGTATTCCTGCTGACCTGGTCGTGAAAGCCAGCGGAAGGGATCTCTCCTCTGCTCTGTTGGTCCCACCCTACTCGGTCGGGCATCACAGCGTCTCTGAGCTGCGACCCGGGTCAGAATTGCCACCTGCTGTCGCTCCTTTCACTTTTCTGCAAGGGTTTGAAGACAGTTGGGTGCTCCCAGTACTTCAGGAAGCTCAGGTTGGGTCCCGCGGACCCTCCCAGAGGGCACCGAAAGTATAGTTCTCTGCGGTTCTAGAGAGATGAGAACACGGAGTCCGGAGCCCTGATGGTGAAGCCTCTCCAAGCCCAGGCACCCAAGCTGCGTAATGCCGCAGCCTCCTGTGTGTTCCCCGACGGCTGTTTCTATCATGGGTAGACCTCCGAGGGTCCTGGAGCCTCTGGGCCCCGATGCCGTCGCTCCTTGGACCGTTCCTCCGGAGGGACAGCGCCTCTGTTCCCTGCCCTCCGCTTCCCGGGCTCCGCTTCCTGTGCCGCCCTCTGCCCGACCCGCCCAGCCCTTCTCACCTGCTCTCCTGGACTCTGTAGCCTCGGCTGCCGCGGCACCAACAAGCAGGACTGGGGGCGGAAACGTGAGCCAGAGGGATGGGGGTGGGGGGAGGCGCGTCAGCAGCGTAGAGGTGGGGGCTGCCACCTAGGCGGGTAGTGGAGCCTCCGACGTCGCCGGGTCCCCGCCGCAGCCCGACTGGCGGCTAGGGAGCCGCCGCGCCTCTCCTCTCCTTCCAGTTCCTCCTCCCTCCCCTTTCTCCTTTTCTCTCCCTCCCCTGGCCCCTCCCCCCGTCTCTCTTCCTCTTGGTCCTCTGGCTTCTGCAACCCATCCCCCGCGATCCCACCTCCCAGTCCCGGAACCTGCCTGGACGGCTTCCCTGATGATGTCGCGGACCAGCTGCGGGATTCAGACACATGAACTGGGTGAAGAACGCTGGCCTGCCGGCGCCGGTCACCCCCAAGCCCAGTCTTCCCAGTCTCCTCAATCCCCCAAGCTCCCATCACTCACTGCTGTGTTTGCATAAGCAGAATTGGGTGTGTAGATCAAAGGAAATGACTGTCCCCCTCCCCAGTGGCTAGGCCAGGATCAAACCCTACATTATACCCCCTTTCAAAATAATAATAATGAATCAGCTTGTGGATCCCTACAGGACATTCTTCCATTTGCCATCCTATCCTTTCTGGCACTTTGGGGTGGGAGGTGGAGTTGAGGAAATGCAGATTTGGGCCACCCTGGATGGCAGACCTGAGCTGCTTAGGACATTTGGCAAGAGGCACACATTCCTCCCAGACAACCCCTTTCCCATATAGATGCTCCCAGAAGAGTATATATAGATTCACCACAAAGAAAAACGCTGCTCACACCCACCTTGCCAGACTCAAAGACCAAGGCAGACATGCACACACCAGCAGTACAAACACCCCCCCCCACACACACACACACATAGATGACCCTAACCCAACTGCCTTTTCTCTCTGGAATGGAAGGACTTGCAGCAGTGGTTGTGGGTTCCGTGACTGGGAGAATCTGGCACACTTGACCCTGGGGCTCCCAGTACCAGGACTCAACAATGGGAAACTTCTCTTCCAGCTCCCACACTCCCATCTTTTCCCTTCAGGACCCAAACCTGCTCGGCAGGGACATAGCAGAGATGCTGACAACTGACAACTCCTTGTAGGATACAGTCTGCCTCTCTAACATACACATTTATGTTATGAAAGATGGGGCCCATTTTCCTCCCTCTCTCCACAACAGCTCTATTCATACTCCTTTCTGCAAGCCTGGATGATCCGAATACTGGAAGGAAGGGAAGCCCAGCCTAGGATCCTAGGAGCTCTGGCCTGTTCCAGAAGTGTCTTCAAAGGCCGGGTGGGGAACCCAGTCTTCCACTGGTGCCCCAGGGCCATCTGCTGAGCTTGAATAGGAAGGGCTATCTCTGGCTAAGATGAACATGTGCTCTACTGTGTATGTGGAGAAAAGTCCATGATAGGTTTGCTTCCTTTGTATCCCCTTTCCCAGGTAATAAAAGAACCACAGATTCTCACACGGCTACCAAACTCAGGGCTGAACTGGGGTTTGGAGTCCCAGATCACCCACCCTTCTCCCGGTCTTTGTGCCAATCTGCCCACCCTCACCAGTAAAGAGACTCGGCCTCCTCGGACAGACATGGTTTATTAATTTGGCCAGAGGTGCTGCGGGGCAGCAGGCCAAGTTTGGCACTGGGAAAAACCAAAGGGAGTACAGATAAACGTTCTGCTCTACGCTAGGGAGCGCTGAGGTGGCCGCTCACACACCTCCATCTCTGCCAGGAGTGCAATCTCTTCTCATACCTTGGTGCTCCAGGCCCCATTGGATAAGAGAAAGGGGAATAGGGAATGGGTAGCGGAAAGGGGATTAGGACAAGGAAAGACAAGACTGGGATGGAGCTGGGGAACTCGCTGGAGGAGGCGGGCCCTGAGCCCGAGTTGGCCAGTGTGCTCGCAGGGCACCTTGACTCAAGGGGGTAGGCTGGGTGGCTTGGAAGAGGAGCGGGGCTGCTAGCTGTGTGTGTAGTAGTAGTTGTAGTCATCCTCGCACCGGTCAAAAGGGCCAGGCGGGCTGCAAGGCTCGCCATCCGGGCCCGGCACAGAACGCTCACGTAGGCGCACCGCGTCGTACAGACCCTGCGGCGGCTCGTCGAGCAGCACATCCCGTTCTGACCGGGAGCGCGTCAGGAAGCCCACGTTACGCAGGAGCAACAGGACGGGCGCATAGAGCAGGTTGGCCAGGCCCATGCCAAGGCTGAGCTGCTCAAAACCAAGCGAGTGTACAATATGGCCAGCTACTATGGGCCCGAGCGCGTAGGCCACGGAATAGGAGATGTCAGCGATGGCATAGACGCTGCCGTAGACTGAGACGTGGCGCACGTCCACGAGAAAGGCTAACGTGGGCAGCAGCGCGGTGTCCACTAGTGCAATGCCGAAGCAGAGGCCACAGAGGGAGACCACTAGCGGCGCGAAGGAGCGGCAGGCTGGCACAATGCACGAACTGGCGCCAATCACTGCCAGCCCCAGCGCACCATACAGCCACTGCAGGTGTGGATAGCGCGCCGCCAGGCGTACGGTGAGGTAGACACCTAGCACGTGGGGCACAAAGGCCGGCAACCAGGCCATTCCCATCTCCCACTCCGACGCCGCCATCGTGTTCTTCATCCACGTGGCGATAGTGGGCTCGAGGAAGGCTAGGGGAATGTTGCAAGTGGTCAGCGCGCCGGCTACCACAGCGATGTAAGGGTCCAGCATGAGGCGATGGATGGGCGTGCCCACTGGCAGGTTGGCTCGAGCGCGTGCAGCTGCAGAGAAGGGCTTGGCCACCGCCAACAGCAACAGCGCGTCGAAGAGTGACACGGCAGCAAGCACCAGAAAGGGCACGCGCTTTCCAGCGAACTCATAGAGGATGCCCCCGAAGGGCGGCGCCACTAGGCTTCCAAAACTGATGAACGCCAGCGCCACGCCCAGCGCTCGACTGCGCTCAGGCTCCTCAGGATACTTGTCCGCGATCATGGCAATGCCGGACGTGTCGGCGAAGGCTGAACCCAGGCCCTGCAGGCTGCGTGCTGCGAACAGCGTGGCGTAGTCCTCGGCGAAGGCGAACATAACTGTGGAGGCAAACATAACGCCCAAGCCAATAAGCAGCGGCACATCGTAGCTCATGCGGTCAATGAAGGGCCCGCTCAAGGGATTCACCAGCAACTGCAGTATAGCCTTGGAGGCAAACAGAACCCCAATTTTCACATCTTCACTTTCCGTGGGGTAGCGAGGCCGCAAGATCGATCGGGCAGGTCCGGCAGCCGTCGGGGACGAGGTGTTGGCAGTGTAGGCGCTAGCATTAGCCAGAGTGGGCGGCGGCAGGGTGGGCTCCCACACCTCGGAGGTCAGGGTGGGGCTCTCGCTGCCCCCGCGCATGTGAGCGATGTAGTCGGGCACGATGGGTACGATGACCATGTACAGCATGTTGTCCAGTAACAGCGCCACACACACGATGACCAGCACCAGGCGCCGCTGCCTCTGGGGCTCTTGCAGTGCCGCATCCACTGCTTCCGACAGCTTGGTGGCCGCTGCCCGGGCCTGGCCGGCCGGTGCCGCAGGTTCCATGCCCCCACCTAGCTGCTCCTCCGAGGACGCCTCCACCGGAGTTGGGCACCAGCGTCCCGCAGTGCAGAGACCAGGGCGCGGGACTTCGGGGGCGCGGTCCTCGCCGCGCAGCGCCCCCTGTGCCTCAGGTGGTTGTGGGGCTCATGCCCCCGGGTCCAGGGAAATGCAAAGACTCCGTCCGGCAAGAAGCCGCCTCCGCTTTGAGCAGATCCTGGGACCCGCCGCCAGTGGGCTCAGGTGCGGCTGCGAAGGCGGGTGCGCAGAGGGGTTGGGGCAGAGACTGGGAGTGCTACGCCTGGGGAGCGCAGCAAGCACTCCCTGCCGTGCCGAGGCCGCTCGCACGGGCCGAGGGGCATGCTTCTGCCGCCCGCCGGTTCACTCGCCCTGCCGCCGCGTTCCCCTCCCTTCGCGTCGGCTCTTGCCTCCTCCTCCGCCTCCTCCTCTTTTTTTCCTTTCCACTCGGGGCTGTGACGCGGCGAGGCCCGGCCCCCGAGTGGTGCCCCGGCCACTTGCGTCGCTCATGCTAATGCAACGTCGGCGGGGCGGGGGCCAGGGGCGGGGCGCGGCCGGGCAGGGGTCTTCTCCCTCGGTGCGCCGGGGCTAGAAGCCCCTGGAAGGGGTCTTGGTGCAGAATGGTCCTGCACAAACCCCTAGAGATGTGCGCACCATGAGAGGAACGGGTCCTCTGTCTCTTCCAGTTCTAGGACCTACGGGGTCAGCCCCCGCTCTTCTCATGGGAAGAGGGGCGCGGCCGCCAGTTCCCCGCAGCCCAACGGGAGATGGGGCAACCCGGGCTTGAGATCGCCACCTCAGAAGGATTTCGGCGCACAGCGGGCTGGGAGCCCCCGAGGTGAGCCGTGCTGCGTCCATCTGTTCTCGCAGCTGGAACGTGGAGCCGCTACCCGAGGGGCGCTGGGCACTGACCCCCAAGCCCTTACTCTGGCCCCGCCCCCTGGCTCCTTCCACCCCCGCGGAAAGGGAGGGGGAGGCTCAGAGACTGCTGGGCCTGCTTTGGACTGACCAGCCCTTCGGCAGAATGTCACCGCAGCTAATTCCCGGCTATGAAACAAGTGGGGATTGAGGGGGGAAAGTCGATCGCCCCCAGGCAGAGTTCGCTAATACAACCCTGTTCCTCGCAATCTCCCGCACTGCCTTGGCACCTTCCTCCCTCCCGCTTGCCTGGACTCTCCCTTCTGCTATCTCAGTGCGGGTCCCCCAGCTCCGCCTCTTCTCCCTTCTATTCTCCTCACCCCTCCCCACTCTTATCTCCTCCCAGGCCCTCGCCGCACCAGACCAAGCCCTCCCTCAGCTCCTGCGAGTCTCCGCCCACTTTTCTACATACCCAGATTCGGCTTCCCCCAACTCCAAAGCCGCTTCCCAGCCCCGGGTGGGCTCGTCAGTTATGTCGTCCTCTCTTGGAGCTATAAGAAACCCCGCCTGGGAGCTGCGCCCACTCACTACGCAAGGCCCAGCAGCCTTGGTGTCTTGAGAGATTCGAGGGAGGCTCACCTTTAGAGAGAGTTGCACACGCCGAGGTGCCCCATTCTCAGCTGATAGGCTGAGCTGTCTAGGAGTGTATGCTGGGCCTGATGCCTCCCCAGAAG